AGGATGCAACAGAATGTCTAAAGCACAGACCTAATAAATCCTCAGTTGAAATCTCACTTCGGTTGAAACTCAAAAGGTGATTTGGTAAACCATTCCCATTCTCTTTCACTTCCTTTGTTTTTCTTAGAGCCTCTCTACCTGAAATTGGGAAGGATAGTAACATTGATATAACTTACAGGATTGTTATGATTTACATTCCAAGTGCCTAAAGATTATTTATTTATTTCTTATCAAAAGCATTGTATAAATTAGTATAAAACTGATAAAAATAGAAGGAGCACAGACGGCGAAATATCTTTTGACCAAAAACTGGCAACAGAAAGACTTAGCCATCAATGTGACAGCAGAGTGTATTAAGAGCTCTTATGTGTTGGCTTCCATAAAAGTTGTACAATCAGGTAGTTTTAATACTTCTTTTTAATATTAGCAATCCACCTGCACTGCACTTTGCTGGCTCTCTCATTATCAAAAGCAGAAGAACAGACTGTTTTGGTGGCTGCTTCTAGACTCTCCATTTCCTAGGAAAACTGGAATGGTCTCTTTCAATCGGTTAGCAAATAATTGTTTATTCTGACAGGCTTGGACTATCCTAAATTTAACTGTTTTAATTGCATTTTCTCTCTTAATTGTACTTAATCTTTTAAAGTGTAATTTTAAAATCATTCTAACATTACCAATAGTTTAATTCTATTTTAATGTTCACTTTTTGTATTTTTAAAAAATTGTATACCACCTTGAGGCCCCGGTGGCGCAGTGGGTTAAACCCCTGTGTCAGCAAGACTGAAGACCGACAAGTCGCAGGTTCAAATCCGGGGAGAGGCGGATGAGCTCCCTCTATCAACTCCAGCTCCTCATGCGGGGACATGAGAGAAGCCTCCCACAAGGATGATAACACATCAAAATCATCCGGGCGCCTCCTGGGCAACGTCCTTGCAGACGGCCAATTCTCTCACACCAGAAGCGACTTGAAGTTTCTCAAGTCACTCTTGACACGACAAAACAAACAAACAAACAAACAAAAAACCTTGAGGCCCAATGGTATCATTCCCATTGTTATTCTGATTGGTGGACCTGCCCTGAAGCAGGACTGCTCAGCATTGGCATGCCAGTAATCTACGCCCCAACAAGAAGGCATACTGGCTTGTAAATGTTAGTTTTTGGACAATTAACTATCAGAATTCCTTGGTCAGGAGTTGGCTAAACATTTCTGGAAGTTATTTCAAAAATAACACTTCCAGTCTTTGCCAAATACTGTATTTCAGAATAAGGAACTGGTAAAGCCACCTCTGAGTATTCATGCCTAAGAAATTAAATTCATGAGGTTGTTATTTATTTATTTTGTGTCAAAAGCATTGCACCAATAAATAAGTTTAAAATTGATAAAATAAAGGGATCACAAGCAGCTAAATAGTTTTAGACCAAAAATGGGCAACAGCGACTGCATTGTCTGTAGCTTTAAACAGTTTTTCCTCTGTGCCTGAGGCAGTGCATTGTGGTCAAGGATACAGATACGGAGTTGTTTGTTCTGTTTCACAGTCGCACAAGGTGGAGGATTCTTCTAGTAGTGCCATTTTGCCAGGTTGTCTTTTGATCTGCCAACTATTCAGGGACTTCTAAGTTGTCCATTCTTGGTTTGGTCCTGGAGGAAGACCCTTGTGAGGAGGCCATCCATTTGAGATTGCCTGATTTTGCTGCCCACAGGAATATTCTTGCTGTTGATGGAAAAACATTTAAAGGAGTGGTGGTTCTCATGAAACTTTTACTTAGATTTAAGTCTACTGGGAGGAGGGTGATAGTCATATAGTGGGGTGGCTTTCACAGCGTTCAACTTTATTTCTCTCACAATTGGCAGCTACTTCCCATTGCACATCAGGGGAGACAATGCCAGCTAGCTTATAGAGTCTATCAACAGATATAGGTTTAAGACATCCTGTAATTGTTCTACATGTCTCATTCAGTGCTATATTCACCTGCTTCGCGTGGGCAGATATATGCCAGATGGGACAGGCATACTCAGCAAGTCTGATGTTCTAATTTATTTTGAGTCTGCACCCCATGCTCTAGTTTGTAAGTTTCCGCAGGATGTTATTGCATGCAGCTACTTTGTGCTTGGTGTTTGCACAGTGTTCCCTAAATGTTATCGTTCAATCTAAGGTGATGCCAAGACATTTAGGATGGGGACAGTGTTCAAGCTCTTGGCCTTCCCAGGTAACTCTCAGTTTTCTGTTGGCTTCAAGATTATGTAGATTTAAAGCACACACTTGTGTCTTGGCAGGGTGAGGCTTCAGGTGGTCTTTGTAGTAGGTGGAGAGATCTTTCAGGGCAATTGGTTTTCAACTATTTCAAAGTATTTTGCTTGTGTTGTTAGGCCAAAATCATCAGTATAAAGCACTGTGTGAGTCATGGTTATGGCTGATCGTTAGTAAAAATGTTAAACAAGGTTGGTGCAAAAATGCTTCCTTGAAGTAGACCATTTTTTGAGCTCCTCCCTCTACTTTTCCTGCCTTGAGACTCCACACAGAAGCTGTGCTTTTCTAGGAGGGTGTGGATGTTTTTTGTAAAATTGCAGTCCAGGGTGAAATGGTAGACTTTATGCAGCAATTTCCTATGTTGCACTGTGTCATAGGCTGCCGTAAGGTCCACAAAAACCATTCCCGTAATGCAACCTTTCCAATAGCATTCCTCGATATACATGGCCAAGTTAAGAATTTGAGCTGTACAATTTTCCTTGGTTTGAAGTCTGCTTGTTGTGCAATAAGCCGGGGTTCAATAACAGGGCCTAGTCAACTTAATAGCATCTTCTCATACATTTTATACAGATGACAAAAGAGAGAGATTGCTCAGTAGTTCTTTGCGTTTGAGGCATTTTTACTAGGTTTTAAAATGGCAATCATTTTAGTTTTCGAGGAATGTGGTGAGCACAGCCCAGCATAATGTTCTCATGTGCATGCAAAACAGTACCCCGCCTAACCAAAGACCTACTGAAGATATTGATCAACAGGAATGTTGGAGTGAATTTGTACTGCGAAGTCTGAGGAGTTTTGTTCTTTTTCTTTTCCCATCTTAGATGTTAATGAGTGTGAGGAAGCCAATGCCTCTGTGACCCTATGTCAAGGCAGCACTTGTGAGAACACCGAGGGCTCCTATCGTTGTAACTGCTTGCCTGGCTATGTGGCTTTAGCAGAGCCTCATCACTGTGTGCCGGAGACAGCACAGAATCCAGAAGCGGCGTGACTCTTGAAACACTGATGGAAGAGAGGCAACTCTTTCAGCCATTTGGTTCCAGAGAACTGGAGTTCTGACCAGCTTGAAAGGTTACTGGGATATCAGCAGCTTTAAAAACTTCTTGCTTGTTTTCCAAAGACTAAAAACTCAGCAGCACAAGCTTCCTGTTTTGGTCACTAAACACTCAGGGCCCAGTCCTGCCATCACATGCTATTTGATAAGTTTTTGTCCCTCTCTATTCTCAGAGGTTCTTGGCCTCTGGTTACTAATGTGCATAGTGTCAGGCAACAGCATGACTTCCCGAAATATTTCTTAACCCTCAAGGATTTTGTGTCCCAAGAATTATTCTCACAAGGCCTTCGTATGTAAAGTATTCACTCTCCCCGCCCACACCTCAGCCTATTGTGTAGGATCTCTACTTTTCACAAACTCACATTTTAATTGTACCTACAATCCTTACCAGACCTTCCTTAGGTACATAGTCTTGAGAGTCCAGTCACTTGGCCACAACCGAGTGACAAAAACCTCAGGACCCTCTCTAGTTCAGTGTGCTAAAGGGGCATTATCACATACTAGCACACAGATACTGACATACTGTGTAGCTTTTCTAGTGACTGAACATACTATTTCACAGAAGACCTAGAAATGAGAGGTTTATCCCCAATGAATCTACCCAGGATTAGTAAAGGCAAAGGTTTCCCCTGATATTAAGTCTAGTTGTGTCCAATTCTGGGTGGTGGTGCTCATCTCCATTCCTCAGCCGACGAGCTGGTGTTGTCCATAGACACCTCCAAGATCATGTGGCCAGCATGACTGCATGGAGCGCTGTTACATTCCCACAGAAGTGGTACCTATTGATCTACTCACATTTGCATGGTTTCGAACTGCTAGGTTGGCAGAAACTGGGGCTAACAGTGGGAGCTCACCCTGCTCCCCGGATTTGAATTGCCGACCTTTTGGTCAGCAAGTTCAGCAGTTTAACGCGATGCGCCACCAAGGGGCCCAGAGTTAACATTCCCTCTCATTAGCAAAGCAAACAGACAGTTCCCTGTACCTGAGCCTGGAAGAGGGGGCTACTTGCCTCTTCAGATTGTATGGATTCTATTTTGGGCTCAGTCTCTCTTTATTCAACCAAACCATGGGCATTCATCCCTGCACTTTCCATGACTGCTGGAATACTAGTTGGGGAAACAAGAAGGACTGCAGCCTTTATGTTTTGGGAAGTGCTCTCCTTGTGATGTTTTCTACTGGGACAATACAACATGGTGTAAAATAAATGGTTTTATATTGTGCCTTGTGGTTTATAGACTGGAACTAGATATTTCTGTTTCTACCCTTTCAAGCATAGAAACAGAGGAAGGAGAGCAAAGCCCTCAGAGGGGAGGAAGAACAGAGCTACTCCACAAAAGAATCATCTTTCAGAATGACTGAAAAATTATTCTCTACTTTTAGAAGGATGTTACTAGAGCCAGGAACAAAGGCAGGGAATACTCTGCAGGTTCCTTCCAATGTTTATTTTATACGACTGAGCAGATTGCACAATTAAGTAGTTACCCACATTTAAAGGTTGAAAGTTTTCTTGAAGTATCTCCTGTAATTTTCAAATCTACTATGGCAAAGTAGCATCAAAACATCTGGGTGTCCCCTGGGCAACGTCCTTGGGGATGGCTAATTCTCTCACACCAGAAGCGACTTGCTGTTCATCAAGTCCCTCCTGAGACGAAAAAAAAAAAAGCTAGCAAATACTTCATCATCCCCAAACAAGACAGAAAACATTTAGTGATAAGGGTTTATTAAAAGAGGCTGGATTTGGAGTACACAGCAAACTTCAGGTAAGTTTACAAGATAGTGCAAAATGGTTAATACAAATGATCTCTATACAGAGACCAAATGCCATTTAGTTTGGCATCTATTGAGAGGATAAGTTTCCACTCTCTGCAGTAAATAATTATAGCAGTTGGCTATTCACTTCCCCATTTGGCTCCAGATGACAAATAGAAAACCAATAAAAATTTTGAGCAGGAGAAAGTCATGGGAAAGCAGATGAAAGCCTGCAGCATCTGACCACGAGAGGCACTGTAGTGTCGACAAGGTACAATAATTCTGACAGAAGTTTGTCTGTTTCCTTTCAAAAAAGTCTTTTCATAATATGTTTTCTTTTTCAAGCAAACAATAGCCTCTAAACATTATCTATCGAGTTTACATGACCTTTTGCCCTGAGATACAGCAGGATTTTCCCCAGCTCCCAATATGTTTTGGGTGGATTCCTTCCAACCACCCATTGCATCTAGATTGTGACTCTGGGGGAAGACAGTAATTGTTGCATAGATGCTACAGGAACCGAAACAAGAAATGCCTTGTAGAGGCATTTGCATCCTCTCTACGCCCATCCCTCCCATAGTCCCCTTGCGCAGAAACCTCTAAGGGTTAAACAGGGTCTTCTTAACCGGAGATCTGAACAGGAATTTTCCAGCAGAACAACATAGAGCCTTGATCATCATACAGCTCCCATTTGACAACCAATTTTATCTGTAGGAAATAGAGAGAAAAGTAGCACAAGATCAGACATCCATGCCTTAGCCATTATTTGTGTAGGAACGGGGAGACAGAATACAAGGAAATGCCACTATACATTGGGTCAGACTGAGAGTAGGATAAACTCCAGGCTTCCCTGTCTATTTTTATTCATTTATTTGATCTGTATCCCAACTTTTTTTAGAGGCACTTCGAACACTTCCACCACTCTGTGCCACCCTAAACAGTATGTTTACAACTGAAGAACATATATGGCATTTTCTGTAGTCTTGCTTTCACTTTGGACCTCAACACAGAATCAAACTATAGAATAACTCCTCCTGGGAGTTTTTATTTGTCTAAGCAACCAATTTTGCAAGAGGCTGTATGCTTTATAATCTTACAAAAGGAGTCCCTGGAGATTGCACAAAAACATTCTTCTTAAGAGTATAACAGTCACTGATGCTCTTGGGCACATCTCTTCCTCCCCACCTACCCCAAGTCTGGCTGCATTATGTCTCTCCATAGCCCTGCAGGATTACAGAGTGCTATGCTATGAAGGGCGGCTAAAATGATTGAGGCCCTGGAGAACAAGCCCTATGAGGAGTGGCTTATAGAGCGGGGCATGTTTAGCCTGCAGAACAGAAGGCTGAGAGGAGACATGATGAGAGTCATGTATAAATATGTGAGAGGAAGTCAGGGAGAAAAGAACAAGCTTGTTTTCTGCTGCCCTGGAGACTAGGATGCGGAAGAATGGCTTCAAACTACAGGAAAGGAGATTCCACCTGAACATTAGGAAGAATGTCCTAACTCTGAGAGCTGTTCAGCAGTGGAACTCTCTGCTCCAGAGTGTGGTAGATGCTCCTTCTTTGGAGGCCTTTAAGCAGAGGCTGGATGGTGCTTCTTGGTGGGGGGTTGGACTGGATGGCCTACAAGGTCTCTTCCAACTCTATGATTCTATATTCACAATATGATCTCATATGTTCACGAACAAATAAATGATATAACTGATGAATCATTACATTTCCCACAAACATCCCCTGGCCTTCCACCAAAGGTAGAGACAGGGAAAACTTTTTTTACCAAGTGTTGCTGAGCAGACTGCATGTCGAACTTGGAGAACAGAGTAGTGTGACCTGACTTTGCTCCTTCAAAGAAAACAAAAGCAAAAGCTGTTCCTTGGGATCAGAGATCTGGGTGTTAGAGAGAACACCTCCTCTCTGATATGCTGGTGTTTTTATATATATATATATATATATATATATATATATATATATATATATATATATATATAAAAATAAGAAAGCTATGCTTCATGCTGGGAGCTTTCCATCATCTGAAACTGACTCCAAACCCTAGTCTAAAGTAGTACAGTCCAGATGCTCCTTCTGAGAACTAAATCAAATAATCCTACACACTCATCCTTACAAACTGCTTCTTCCCCACTCTTTCAAAAATCATGTATCCTTCATTCCCCAAACACTGATGTCCAGCACTTCACCCCTTTACATGAGGTAAAGGTATGTGGAAGACAGCTCTATTTACTGGAATCATCCTGAGAAGACACTTACAGATGGGTAGGCGGTTTTTACTGGTAACTTGTTCAGGTAGTTGTAAGTGTGGCCTGACTGGATAGGACAGCTTATTCCTGACTTGCAGCCATCAGGTTCATCAAGGGGGAATGGGATATCCGCACCTAATATTTCTCCATAGACTTTTGCTTTGCTGCCTGAGCTGTCAATATCTGCAGAAAAAGAAAAATATTAATGAAATAAGAATTGCAGTTTATAGAGGTAAGGAGCTTTGATAGGTACAGGGAATGTGGGATTCCTAGACTGGCCACAAGCCATATCACTTGGTGGTTCCAGTGTCAGGGAGGGAATGGGCCACTCTTTCTTTTGGCTCAAAACTTTAAATGAGCTCTCTATTGAGCTGAACTTGGGGGATACGATTCAGCACCATGGCTAACTCATCCAAAGTGTGAATTAAAATCAAGGGCAGATTTACTGCCTCGTTCCACTAAAACGATTTTTCTTCCTGGGTTATGTCATTTCCTAATTATAAAAATATGGAAAATGTTTATTAAACTGCAAAAACATTGTTTTAGCAGGATATCCTGCAGCACATTTTCTATAGCTTTTCAGTGAATATCTCGTAGAGTCTCAACCAATTCAACATAGTTTATGGCAACTACAAAAACAAAGTTTCTGGAGTATAATAACTACTTTCAAAGTAGGTATGGCACAATTAAACAGGAAATAACACTTTCAAACCAGGAACAGATTTTTTTCCCAAGTTTCATTACATAGTGTTCATAGTACAGCCACTCAACAAAACAAAGTGCTCTCCTAGTTTCACATCAAGACTACAGTGCATTAAAGTTATATTTTGTCTACCATTTCTGACCTTTCACTGACTGTAAATGCATGTGACTGGGGGGTGGGGGGGGGTCTTCTCTCACATCTCAGGAGTAAGGCTGTAGTTCAACAGTAGAGCACATGTTTTGCATTCACAAAAAATGCCTAAATGTCAAGTCTTCACACCTCCATGCTGGAAATGTACTGTTATACTCTGTGTATAATGGGAAGGGCCAAATGCAGCCCTCCAGATTGTTAGGTTTTTGTGTGAGGGAAAACTCCCAAAAATACAGCACAGCATCCAAAATATGCAAACAGGATACTTATAGTTGAGCATTCAGCTCACAACAAGTGGAGTGTGAAGTGCCACGTGGCTGTAAAGAATTGAGATCTTAGGAGGCAAACATGCAGAGTTCTATCTTGAAGATTACAAAAGGTTTATTTACAAAATAATATCTACATTTTTTTAATAATGAAGAACTGGGTTTGAGCTACAATAACCCAATCTCTTCTAGGGTTCAAAGAGAGGGGAAAATCTCCAAGCACACATCTATCCTGACACAAGCAGAGAGGGAGATCTCAATACATACAACACGAACAAGATACAAAAGTAGAAGTCAGAAGGAAAGGGTTGCAGTAGAAAAGTATCCATTCTGCACAACCAATCAGAATGGGAGCAGAAACAGGCAAGAAATTGGGAGGGGGAGGCGATGCCCTCAGCCTATTCTCAGCTAATCAACCACTCCTCATTGAGGACTGCAGACTTGGGCAGTGTGGGGTTGAATTCCAACAGATATGTTGGACTGCAACTCTCATCAGCCTTAGCTCATATAGCTAATGGTATGAAATACTGGCAGATGCAGCCCAACAACATCTGGAGAGCTGCACCTTGACTATCCTTACTAAAGAGAAGAGTGTGCTAGATAACCCTTCTGTCAATGTATCTTCCTTTTCCTCTCCCTCTGCATTTCTTGAACAAAAAATATTCATTTTTTTATATAAAAAGAATAATGAAAACTACATGCAGATTGCTAGATGCAGTAACTATATTTGTGACTCTTTGGTATCAAGTACCTATGAAAGGAGGCCATTCACAGGATGGTGTCTTATTATAGCAAAATGTTTGCTGTGGAATATGAAGCAAACAGCTCAAAGATGCATTAGCTGCCAGAATGTCCTTTGGTACCATCCATGACATGCGAGTGTGGAGAAGAGCAAGCCACAGACCACCTACTATAATGCAACCCGAGCCCTGCCACGTGCACAATGGAGGACCTTCTCACAGTGACACCAGAGGCACTCCGAGTGGCCAGCTTCTGGTCAAAGGACTTTTAGCCTAATGCTAAATTCTTAAACTTTGTGTTTTTAAACATGTTAACTGTACCCTCAATTCGCCTCTGGCATGATAAATAAATCATGCTGTAAGTGTGCAGCAGCAAGGAAGCATTGTGGAAGAAGGCACTAGACGCCTCCTAACAAAACATCCACAAAAGGAATTAATCCAGCATAAACCTAGGTCGCATAACCAAAATACACTTACATGCTCAGAGTCATTATATGCAGTGATTGTTACGTAACGTTCTATTTTTTTTGCAGATAAAAATTATTTCTGTATAAGAAATTTGAAATTGCTGAAGCATCAGCCGCTTGAAAGCTGAACATAAACTCTTTAAAAACCCTAAGTCCAATAAATACAACTGTTTTAAGAGAGCTTAGAATCACCATGATATACTTACGGCTAGAAAATGTGACATTGACACTGTAAGACGTTCCTTTGTGGAGGACACAAGGTTCTGCAGGGCAGGGAGTCACATTGACCTCTGTAATATTTCCATCTTTGGAACCTGAGAAAGAAAGGGAAACAAAACAAAAACCCACATTCTTAATGTCCTGGCTGTACTAGACTATATGTTAAATGTGTTACAACCATTGGCCAAGGTCCAGAATATCATTAAAAAAAATCTATAAACTGCTGCATTCACTCATACAGCCAAACCTTGCAACAACCTATCAATGTGATCTAACTGACACAAACAGATTAAAGATTTTACTTATCATTTTAACAGTTAGGGAGGCTCATACATCCTTAGATGAGAGTATGAAATAGAACCCAAAAGTAGCCATTTGGTAAAACACAGCCTATTGCTTCAGGGAAAATTTCTTAATTGCAAGAAGTATATAAAAGAAAGAATTCTGTATGGAAATAACAGCGGCCTTGGGTAAAGAACAGGAAATTGATTTCACAACAGATTGCAGCATAACGCTGAGAAAGTTATGCTTTCCACAATGGTGAAGCACAAATGCTCCACAAAGTTTTCAAGATTGCCATTCATTTCAAATTTACATGTATATTAAGAAAACCAAAAGGTGAACTAAGCCCAGGTAACACAGATTTGGGGAAAGCAGCAGTTCTCAAGTGTGGAGGTTATATTTTTCTCATAGGGGGAAATGGCAAGACCATGTATAATAGTAGAACATTAAGAAGTGGACTTAAGGACATCTCCGAGTGAACATTAAACTTGTTCCTTGACCACAATGATTCCCCACAGCAGAGCACCATGCCTGTCTCTATGTCCCACCTCCACTACTGAATAGCTTTGTTCATTGCACAGGAATGAGAGGATGTTGAAAAGTGTCTAGTTTCTAGAAATAGCAACAGGCAAAAGAAGGACAGGCCAGTTCCTGATTCAATAACTTTAATCCAAATCGACCTGGGGAGTCTTTGGTGTTCCATGTATTTCAGACCACAAACCCTATAGGCTCAACACAGGCCATGGAGCCCCAGGTGGCGCAATGGGTTAAAGAGGACTGAAGACTGACAGGTCTGACGTTCGACTCCAGGGAGAGCGCAAATGAGCTCCCTCTGTCAGCTCTAGCTCCCAATGCGGGGACATGAGACAAGCCTCCCACAAGGATGGCAAAACATCAAAACATCTGGATGTCCCCTGGACAATGTCTTTCAAGACAGACAATTCTCTCACACCAGAAGCAACTTTCAGTTTCTCAAGTCGCTCATGACACCAAAAAACAAACAAACAAACAAACAAAACCCACAGGCCATGGCAATTGGAACTGTAGACCAGTGGTTCTCAACCTGGGGTCCCCAGATGTTTTTGGCCTACAACTCCCAGAAATCCCAGCCAGTTTACCAGCTGTTAGGATTTCTGGGAGTTGAAGGCCAAAAACATCTGGGGACCCCAGGTTGAGAGCCACTGCTGTAGACCAAAACATCTGAAGGGCAAAAATGTTTCTATCTCAACATAACATTTGAAGAGAAGAGAGGAAAAGGGAAGTCGAGAGTAACAGGACAGATTTTAGAAACGAACTTCTCCTCTACACTTTGCCATGTTTATCATGGAAAACAGTATTTATAACAAATGCAGTTTGAAGTGTGAATCACTTGTGGCTGCACAAAATGACTTGTATCCTCACATGACTAGTGACGCATCAATCCATTGTAACTTCAGGCTGTTTCCTTAGCTATTCACGCAGAAGTGGCAGAAAATTGTGGCTTGGGGAGACTGCTGAATTTGTGTTTATATTGCCAATTAATGTAAAAGCCTGCCCTGCAAAGAGAACACGAGAACATTCACAATCTCCAGGTTTCTGACATTTCTTCATGTGAAAGCCACACTGGATTCAATGGATTTGCTGCCCAGATTGCAGGGCAATCTGAAGTATATTTACAAAGAAACAAGACACTCTTGTGTCCAATACTCCTGATTAAGTGTAGTTCAGTTTCCACAGTATTACAACACACTCTTGTGCATGTTTACTCAGAACTTAAACTTACTGAGTCAAGCTGTGATGTTTACCAAATCATTCTGCAGATGGTTTCACAACATTTCTGAAACCAGGTGTAAAGGAAAAGGGACTTCGTACAAAAGCTGCCTTCAAAATCATTCTGAACAAACTTTGATTATGCAATAATAAAGCATGATAGTACTCCAATTTGTGGGAGAGCAGTTTTAAAACATGTGGTTTATAAACACTAAGGTAAAGGTTTCCACTTGACATTAAGTCTAGTCGTGTGCTCATCTCCATTTCTAAGCCAAAGAGCTGGTGTTGTCCATAGACATCTCAAAGGTCACGTGGCCAGTATGACTGCATGGAGCGCACAGTTACCTTCCCGCTAAGGCGGTACCTACTGATCTACTCACAGTTGCATGTTTTCAAACTGCTAGGTTGGCAGAAGCTGGGTCTAACAGTGGGTCATCAAGTTCAGCAGACTTTTGGTCAGCAGGTTCAGCAGCACAGCAGTTTAACCCACCGCACTACCAGAAGCTCACTTAAACACCACTACCACACAAACACTAGGTTCAATCCAATTGACCTAGAACAGAACATCAAAGAAACTGCTGAATGTTAAGTGAATACTTATGTAAATCTCAATGATTTAATGGATCTACTCTAATTGGAACTAGCAATTATATTTAGACTACTATTCCCTAAAGTGCTTTACTGTTCCACGTGGGATAAGTTATCATCAATGGCATTGGGTTAATTGTAGTTATTTCCTTTAGTTAAAAATCAGACAAACTATCACACCTGCTGTGTACCCTAATCCATAAATCTGATGGTGCAGTTTAGCTGCTGTTCTGTGTCACACAAGAAGCACGCAGGCCAGGCATACATTTTAAAACAGTCACTACTTTATATTTCATAATAATATGAAATATAAAGTAGTGACTGTTTTTTTAAAAAAAAAAAAAAAAAAGTAAGAGGAGCCCCTGGTGGTGCAGTGGGTTAAACCCCTGTGTCGGCAGGACTGAAGACCGACAGGTCGCAGGTTCAAATCCGGGCAGAGGCGGATGAGCTCCCTCTATCAGCTCCAGCTCCTCATACGGGGACATGAGAGAAGCCTCCCACAAGGATGATAAAAGCATCAAATCATCTGGGCATCCCCTGGGCAACGTCCTTGCAGACGGCCAATTCTCTCACACCAGCAGCGACTTGCAGTCTCTCAAGTCGCTCCTGACATGACAAAAAAAAAATCATAGTAATATTGCCTACAGAGCAATTTTGATCCTGCAAGTCACACACTCACATCCACACCTCTATAGCTTCATGCCACATCTCATTCTGTCCTGGAGTGTGTCATGAGCAGTCCATGTGCATAAATGTGTAAAAAACAGAAATAGTGGACGCCAGGCACCCCAATTTTTGCCAATAGGATCTCCTTTTGCCAGAGCATTGCCAACATTCTGCTACACCTTTATGTCCTTGGCTATGACAACTTTACACCTCAGGATGTTGAGCTAAAGTCCCAGTATCCTTGGCTGCTGGGACTGGATCTGATGAAAGCTGGACTCAAGACAAAATAAGGATGCCTGAAACACTAGTTAGTCTAATATGGCTGTGCCTCCTTTTTATCTAGATTCCATATTATACAGTGGCAAGACTCCTGCTGTATTGCACACTCCTTGCCATTGTGTATTCTAAAGGGAGTTGCAATCCAACAAAATCCTGGAGAGCCATGTGATTTTTACACCGATGAAAGGGGTTCTAGCCCCCCCAAGAGCTGGAACTATCCATCTTTGAGCTGCTTTCCAGCAGTACAATAAGGAAATAAGGGACACCCACCAGGTCAGGAGTAGGGGCATGTGTGTTCCTTTTGGTGTTTGGATTGCTCCTCCTATCAACACTAGACAGCAAAGCCAAATGTGAAGGATACTAGGAGTTGCAGTTGAACAGGATTTGGAGAATTACATTTCATCCATTCTAATAGTAAGCATTCTAACATTCCTGGCTTGTAAGAAAAACCTGAAATTTATACAAAACAGTGTGTAAAATGTAAAATTGCTTCCCATACAAAATGGACAGTGAAAGACAGGGAAGGCACTGTGTTCTTGGTTGTCTAAAGAGAAATAAACATGCAGCTGACAGCTACTTTGGCCTCTCGGCAATCTATATTTTACCACCTCATGTATCATAAACCAGGTTGTTCTTATCTTATAAAGCTCTGAGGATTACCTGGGAAGGAATCCCACTGGAGCATTGCAGCACACCAATACTACTTTGGATTTACTCTGGACCGTTCTCTGACCTACAAGAAGCACTGCCTTAGTATCAAGCAAAAAAGTGGGCGCTAGAAACAATATTATACAAAAGCTCACTGGCACAACCTGGAGATCACAACCAGATACAGTGAAGACACCTGCACTGGTGCTTTGCTACTCTGCTGTTGAGTATACATGCCCAGTGTGGAACACATCTCACCACGGTAAAACAGTGGATGTGGCTTTTAATGAGACATGCTGCATTATCACAGGGTGTCTGTGCCCTATGCCACTGGAGAAATTACACTGCTTAGCCAGTGTTGCACCACCTGACATCCGCCATGAAGTAGCAGCCAATAGTGAAAGGACAAAGGCAGTCACATCTATGGCCCATCCTCTCTTTGGATATCAACCAGCACAACAATGCCTTAAATCAAGAAATAGTTTTCTAAGATCTACAGAGACACTTGCAGGAATAGCTCAGCAAGCAAGAGTCCAAAAGTGGCAGGCTAAAACTCAGAACCTCAATCCATGGCTGATACCAAATGAGACTTCCCCCTGGGCACACAGAAGATTGGGTGACTTGGAAGGTACTGAATAGGCTGCGCTCTGGCACCACAAGATGCAGAGCTAACCTTAAGAAATGGGCCCACAAAGTGGAGTCCACGACATGTGAGTGTGGAGAAGAACAAACCACAGACCACCTATTACAATGCAGTCTGAGCCCTGCCACATGCACAATGGAGGACCTTCTTATAGCAACACCAGAGGCACTCCAAGTGGCCAGCTACTGCTCAAAGGACATTTAATATAATGCCAAGTTTCAAACTTTGTGCGTTTTTTAAAAAATACTTTACAACCGTACCCTTAGTTTGTTCCTGATACAATAAATAAATAAAATCTTATAAAGTATGTGTGTGCACTGTGCTTCAGGAAAATAATGTGCAGCAGAGCCAAATGACTTTCCATGCACCCCCTCATGACACATTAAAAATCTCTTTAAGAAAACAGAAGTGGGTGTTTGAAGATTTCCATGAGGAGGAAAGAAGTTTGTCACTCTGCAACAGGCCACATTTCACCTCATCCCAGAGCACCCATTTTCTGTCTGAACAGATCAATTTGTCCTCTGAAGTTTTCCCATAAGAGCCAATGCCTTCCTTCTCTCCACACTTCAAAAAACAATCTGAATGCAATATGTAATATACATAACAACACCATGCCTCACAGAGAGTCAGCTGACACTCACAAACCAGCTTCGTGAATCAAGAATGAATACAATCTTAGAATTCCAAAGGCTGGCAAGGGCTAAGCAAAAAAACAACCCAGAAGACAAGGGAGCCTCATGCCTCTATTGATCTATTATTCAACCACAATACTGCTGGACAATAGCCCAGCAATGGGAGACCAGCTTTCCCCCATTGCTGGTAAATTTGAGATATATTTTATACTTTCTGGTATAATTAAAAGTGATGTTTCCCAGAAGGGACCTGCCTAGACAACTGTGGCAGTACCAAATCAATCTGAACGATTGCTTACCAGTACAACTGGTGGGCAACCCAGTCAAATTAATGTAATGAATACCTGCTACAGAAACTCCATATTATAAAATATGTTAGTGGAGGGAAAAATTTACATGAAGGAAATATATGAGTGCATAGTTCTGACTACTGAAACCTGTTACTGGAGTTTCAAACTCTTATATATGAATGGATTTGCATTATTTTAATTATACATAAGCTATATCAGGCATGGGCCTACCAGTTGTTAGGAATTATGGGAGTTAAAGTCCGAAACACCTGGAGGGCCGAAGTTTGCCCACGCCTGAGCTATAGTATATGATGGGGTATGAGAGCAGTATGCACATGAAACTCTGGTTGAGGTTCTAGAGTTGGGGATGTAAATTATCTCAACGGCAAAAGTATGACATCTCTCCCCCACTACATTTAAGGCTGCCGTAGTGCCCGTAACACAGTCATTTCTTAATCACTGGAAACTGGGGGTTGACAGGGTGTGGAGTAGCTCAGTGGTTCCCAACCTTTTTTTGACCAGGGTCCACTTGACCAGGGACCACTCTCCAACATTAGTACCAAAGGGGTTACCAATCAGTTTTTGGTCAACTTTAGATTCGGTTTGGTTATTTAGGGTGCCGATTCAGAAAACTGCATTGGATAGACCACATCAGCTCTAGTTTCGGAAACAGAACATATGCCATCCAGTAGTCGCCATCTGCTCACTCATAGAAAACTATATTTAATAATCTAGAGCTGATGTAGTAATCTTTCGTGGGTAGTCAGCCTCTCCCCTCCCAATATCCCTGTTGCCTTGGCACTATAAGAGGGTTTCGCAAGACCAGTTGCTCTCATTGCCACGTGGCTTCAAGGCAATGGTGAGGCCGCAGACCATATTTTTGTTCTTGTGGACCACTGGTGGTCCACGGACAACAGGTTGGGAACCACTGCTGCAGTGAAGACACAAGGCACACAATGCCACTGCTCTGCATCCAGCTATCTGAAAAAAGTTGGCCCCTGCCCCATACCCCCTCCACACTTTCTCTATCCCTGCATAGGAGAGCTGCAGCAGTGATTACATAGAGTATTTGATGGTTGTGTGGACCTAACATTCTCAAACTGTGGCCCTCCAGCTGATTTAGCCTCTAACTCCCAGAATTCATTGCTACTAAACAAGCTGGCTAGGGCTTCTGGGAGTTGGAGGCCCAACAGCTGGAGGGCTGCAGATTAAGGATGCCTGGTATGAACAGTAGAGAATTCCCTGCTTCACAAAAACAAAAAAAAGTTACACGTTGGAAGTGATAACCTTGGAATTCCCTAGCAGGTTGCCACCCAATATTAATAATTTAAAACAATTCCACATTTAAAACCCCCCAGAATAAAACAGATTTAACATGTTAAAACTGCTTCGAAGATTAAAACTGTTAAAATTTGAAAAGAAAATTAGACCACAACTACTTTAATTAAAAGCCATGTTTTGACTTGTATGACATGCCTGTTTAAAGTACACTATATCTCTCTGTGTGTACATGTTTAAAAGGTACCTGTCAACTGATGGCAATCACTTATATTTCATAGCGTTTTCTGAGGCACGGCATACACAAGAGGTGGCTTTGTCAGTTCTTTCCCATGAATTATAGCCTACAGCACCTGGTATTCATCGACAGCCTCCCATCCAAACACCAACCAGCTGACCCTGCTTAGCTTCCAAGATTGGGAGAGAACTGGTGCCTTTAGGTCAGTGGTTCCCAAACTTTTTTTTTAACCTGGGATCACTTGACCAGGGACCACTCTCCAACATTAGTACCAAAAGGATTACAAATCAGTTTTTGGTTAACTTTAGATTTGGTTTGGAGTGCTGATTCAGAAAATTGCACTGGATAGACCATATAAGTTCTAGTTTCTGATACAGAACATATGCCATGGTCAGCAACAGGGAAGGAGTGGCAGGCAATGCAGAAGTAGCAGTAACAAAATAAATAAAGTAAAATAAGTAAAGAGGAAGGAGACTTGCGGACCAGATTTTCATCCTTGGGGCCCACTTATGGTCCGAAGTCCACAGGTTAAGAACCTTTGCTTTAGGTATTTAGATCAGGCATGGATAAACTTTGGCCCTCCAGGTGTTTTGGATTTCTGGCCGTGGCTGTTAGGAATTGTGGGAGTTGCAGCCCAAAACACCTGGAAGGCTGAAGTTTGCCCATGCCTGCTTTAAGGTAAAGGTAAAGATTTTCCCCTGACATTAAGTCCAGTTGTGTCCGACTCTAAGCCGAAGAGCCGGCGTTGACAGCAGACTCCTCCAAGGTTGTGTGGCTGGCATGACTGCATGGAGCGCCGTTAGGCAAATGTCTGCTTGAGGAAATTGAAAAATGAAGAATGGGTTGCCCTTGATATCCACTAGAATAAGTGGGATGAAGAAAGAAAGAAAGAGAGGTGATGGAATGGAGTTGCAAGGATTTATTTAAGGAATGGGGCAGACAGGTTAATTTCTATCCTTTCCTTCTCAATTAGCTGCTGAGTCTGGCCATCAAGAAATCTAAATGCAAACTCAAACTACTGGTGAGCAACTAGTTTTACCAGAGGTCTAAAAGAAAGGAATGCGTTTGCCAGGCCATGGCTCTCAATAAGCAGTTACTTCCTATCACAGCTGCTCCCTTCTCCGCCTTCCTATTGACATTCAATATGCTGCAAAGTTCTGGTCCTGCAGAAGGAGGCATAATAAAAGGCCATTCAAACACTCTGCATAAAGATTTATGAATGTGGGCAGGACATAGTTGCCAGTCTCACAGTTGGCACCTCCCTCCCTTAGGGGGAAAAAAAAACACAACTTGTAAAGTTACTTTTAGGGATGGGCAGGCTCAGAATCTCCCCATTCTAGCAAACTGCATGGATTGTATAGTGTAGAGAAGCACCCCATGTGACCCAACAGAGGAGAAAGAGAAGCCGTGCCAAGAGGGGCCAAGGCTGAGGAAGAGAGAGCCTCGCAGGGTGAAGCCTCACCGCAGTCCTTGAACTTCAGGGGTTCGGGTCTCACCACGGCGCTGGCAGCTAGCAGCAGGATCAAGGCGCGTGCAAACATCGTTTCCTCCCAAAGTGCAGCACACACTACTTCTTCTTCTTCCGCCGGGCAGGCGCGCGCGAGTTTATCCCCAACTGGGAGAGAGTGACGTCGGTGTCACGTGACGGGAGGCTGCCCGGGCTGGCCCCGCCCCCTTAGCAATCACCTGAGGGGCGGGGCCCAATGGGGAAGCCTTGGATGTGAATCCACGCTGTGGAATGAATGCACTATGACACTACTTGTGACAGTTGTGGCTCAATGCTGTGGAGTCATGGTGGATGTTGCATTTTGGAGAGGCACCAGCATAATTAGGCAGGGAAGGGTCAAGACCATTAAAGTGGTGTCAAACTGCATTAATTGTACAGTGTAGATCAGGTATGGGCAAACTTGGGCCTTCCAGGGGTTTTGGACTTCAACTCTCAACATTCCTGACAGCCTCAGGCACTTTCCTTTTCTCCCTCAGCCGCACAGGCAAACTTGTGCTCTCCAGGAGTTTTGGACTTCAACTCCCAACACTCCTAACAGCCTCAGGCCCTTTCCTTTTCCACCTCAGCTGCAAACTTGGGCCCTCCAGGAGTTTGGACTTCAACCCTCACCATTCCTTACAGCAGGGGTCCTCAAACTTTTTAAACAGAGGGCCAGGTCATAGTCCCAAAAATGCTGGAGGGCCGGATTATAATTTGAAAAAAACATGAATGAATTCTATGCACACTGCACATATCTTATTTGTAGTGCAAAAAACACTTTAAACAATACACTAATTAAAATGAAGAACAATTTTAACAAATATGAACTTATTAGTATTTCAGTGGGATGTGTGGACCTGCTTTTGGCTGATGAGATAGGATTGTTGTTGCGTGCTTTCAAGTAGTTTCAGACTTAGGTTGACCCTGAGCGAGGGCCGGGTAAATTACCTTGGAGGGCCACATCCGGCCCCCGGGCCTTAGTTTGAGGACCCCTGCCTTACAGCCTGAGGCCCCTTCTTTTCTCCTCCGCCACAAACTTGGGCTCTCCAGGGGTTTTAGACTTCAACTCCCACCATTCCTGACAGCCTCAGGCCCTTTCCTTTTCCAGCTCAGCTGCATGAACAAACTTGGGCCCTCCAGGAGTTTTGGACTTCAACTTTTGGTGGGAGTTGAAGTCCAAAACTCCTGGAGGGCCCAAGTTTGCCTGAGCCTAGTGTAGATGCAGCCGTAGCCTCCCCTTGATTGACCCTTCAAGTTTTATTGAATTGGCAGCTGCACGGCAAACAAGCCCAGCTTCCAAGCTCTGCGGTGCCAGGAATGATGGGGCATGACATCTCCTTTTGTTATCACAGTTGATATTTCTCCATCTATGTCAATAGTTCATGCTGATAGTATTTAAAATGCACACAGATACGTGGATTGGCCTCAATTGTCCAATTAATGCCCTTTGACCCCACTTTAGCCGCCCGGGCTCAATACTGTGGGATCCAGGGAGTTGTCATTTTGTAGGCGTAGTTGTTCGTTTTAATCTTTACCAAGTTCGTTTTTAATAAAATGTTTGCTGAAATGTGTTGAACAGCTCCTCCTATTTATTTATTTACTGGATTTCTAAAAATAACATTTTTGTTTATTTTCAGTATACTCTACAAAAAATTAGGAACAGAAAGGAAGATGTTCCTGGGCAGAGGCAATTCCACCTTGTGTTGTAATATTATTTCCATCTGTTATTATTCAGTTTGAGTCCTGCACAAAGTAGCTGCATGCAATAACATCCTGCGGAAACTTACTAATAGCGCATGGGGTGCAGACCCAACATTAATAAGAATATCAGCCCGGGCCTTGTTTTACTCAACCACTGAGTATGCCTGCCCCGTCTGGCATAAATCTGCCCATGTGAAGTAGGTGAATATAGCACTGAATGAGACATGTAGAATAATCACGGGATGTCTTACGAGTAAACCTACATCTGTTAATAGACTCTATAAGCCAGCTGGCCTCCCCCTGCACCACCACCACCGATGTGCAACGGGAAGTTGCTATCAATTGTGAGAGAAATAAGGTTGAACCTTGTGAAAGCCACCCACTGTATGGCTATCAGTCTCCTCCTAGCAGAGTTAAATTATGGAAAAGTTTAATGAGAACCACCACTGATTTTAATGTTCCTCCAGCAATAGCAAGAATGTTCCTATGGGCAACAAAATGAGGCAATTCCAACTGGATGGCCCCCCGTGAATGTCTTCCTCCAGAGGCAAACCAAGAATGGACAACTTGGAAGTCCTTGAACAGACTCAGAAGTGGAGTGCCCAGAGGCACTAACAAGCCACACCAAACAACAGCCAGGCCATCAAATGCTAATCAAGGTGGTCAGTTGAAGCATTCACACCTAGCTCCAACAGATAAGAGTTCTTTCTCCCACCCTAGACATTCCACAGATATATAAATCCAATTTCCGTAGTTTCCAACAGACCTCACAACCTCTGAGGATGCCATAGATGTAGGTGGAACATCAGGAGAGAATGCTTCTAGAACTTGGCCATATAGCCCAAAAAACCTGCAACAACCTAGTTTCAAAAGGTTTTTTTAAAATATATAAGAACTACAATTCTTGATAGAAAAGTTTGGATATAAGTTTCTCTCTAACTCCATTACTTCAGAGGTTCAAACAAAAGGAAAAAAACCCTCTAGCCTATTTCTATCTAGTTGCTTCTTATTGAGGACTGCAAACACGAACACTGTGTGTTTGAATTCCAACATAGAATCATAGAATCAAAGAGTTGGAAGAGACCTCATGGGCCATCCAGTCCAACCCCCTGCCAAGAAGCAGGAATATTGCATTCAAATCACCTCTGACAGATGGCCATCCAGCCTCTGTTTAAAAGCTTCCAAAGAAGGAGCCTCCACCACAGACATTGAATAGTATTGCGTGTCTGGTTAAAAATATAATTAAGATGCAATAAATAAAATTAGATGTAGATTAGACATGGGATCCCTTCCCTCCAGGCACTAACAAGCCACACAAAACAACAGCCAGGCCATCAAATGCTAATCAAGGTGGTCAGTTGAAACATTCACACCTAGCTCCAGCAGACAAGAGTCCTTTGTCCCACCCTGGTCATTTCTCATAATTATTTTTCACCAGGTCACTATTGACCATCATCAGTTGTATCCCTGAATATATTTTCTTACACAATTTATATTTGTCAGTTCCTTGATTTTGGTTTGATCTTCTAACATATTTTTAGTCAAAATTTTGGTTTTCATTTTATTTATGGTGAGGCCAGCATATCTTCCAAATTCTTCAACTATTTTTGTTATTGTAGGTACAGATTTCAGAGGTTTTTCTATCATTAGGACTACGTTTTTGCAAAAAGCCTGATTTTAAATACAACAACACCTGGGATTGCTTCAGAATCTTGAATTTTATTGCCCAAAATTTCTATTGTTGAGATAAGTAGGAGGGGAGCAGCGGGCATTCTTGCCTTACTCTCCTCTAGATTGGAAAATACTCAAGAGTGTTCTCCATTAATTTGCAGTATTGCCTTTGGTTGGAGTATATACCTTTTACTCTGTTGAAGAATTTGTTGTCGCAATTTATGCTTTTTAAAGTCTTCTCTATTAATTTCCAATGGATCTTATTGAACTCTTTTTCCGCATCCAAGAATATAAAGGCTGCCTGTTTGTCTCTATTACATTGTAGAAATTCAGTTAAGTTAATTATCGTTCTCGTGTTATTTTTGGTTTGTCTACTGGGCAAGAAATCTGTCTAGTGCATGTTTATCCATGTTCTCAATCCTTTTCCTTTTCGTTGGCCAGTATGGCTGCAAATAATTTGTAAACCAGAATTAACAAAGAGATGGGTCTATAGTTTTGAATCTTTTTTATATCCTGGTCTTCTGTTGGGATTAACGTAACATGGGCTTCTCTCCATGAATTGGGAATCAATACATTCTGTAGAGCAGTGGTTCTCATCCTGTGTGTCCCCAGATGTTTTGGCTTTCAATTCCCAGAAATCCTAATAGCTGGTAAACTGGCTGGGATTTCTGGGAGTTGTAGCTCGAAACACCTGGGGACCCACAGGTTGAGAACCACTGCAGTGTAGAGCCTCATTTATTTATTGGTGTAATTGAGGAACTAGAACATTTTCAATTTTTTGTGGAAGATTGAAGTAAAAACATCCGGGTCCGGGGCTTTGTCGTTTTTTGTTTTTGTTTTTACATTTTTAATGGCCCTCCTGATTTCTTATGAAATTATGGGGCTATTTAACACATCTTGATCTTCTTTTGTAAAGGTAGTTAAAATTTTTAAAGATATTTGTTTAAGTCAGCTTGATGGACAGAGTGTAGTTTTTATACGTTTTTGTAGTAGTTTACAAAGTTTTTTGTATATTTGTGTCTTTCATGCTTTCCTGACCATTATCTTGAATCACTGTAATTATTTCTTCTGTTTTTAATTTATTGGAAAGTCATATTTTTGCTTTATTTGCGTGCTCAAAATGATTTTTTTTTAAATCCAGTATTTTCTCCATTTTGGCCGTCTACAGATGTATGACATTAGCTCTGGTTTCTCTGGCCTTCAGAGTCTCCATGAGTCCACTTGTTTAATCTATCTATCTCTTTGGAATGTAAACAATCCCAAGGCCTACCCCCTCTTTTCAGGTACTTCATATAAACTTATTTTATTGTTAGTTTTTTTCTTTTCTCCTTTCACTTTTCTCTCTTCCTCTTCTGATTGTAGTGTAGACACCACAAAACGTTTTATGGTTTTATTGATTTATGCCTTTTTGCTGGAGGTGCTGTTGTTCTCTCTTCTCTTGTTCCTTTCCACTGCTACCAATTGCAGCCTGGTGAAGAAATAGCTCCGATGAGATGATGAGGGATTGTGTCCATGCAAACTGCTCCCTGATAACAGGCCTTGAGGAGAATCTAGACCCATGTTGATCACCTCGCCATCTTGCCAGAAGTCTCTGCTCTTTTTTATGACGTAGGGACACATCCCTATTCTTTCCATGTTGTTCCTGTCTCTGGTTCCAGCTATTCTGTAAAGTGCAAGAATCCATCTATTTGATTAGCTAAGGTATACATATATTATGTGTTCGCATGCCTGCCTTATAATCTGCCTATGGGAAGAGAGCAGTTGTATTTAGTTTGAATGGT